TTTTTTTTTTTTTTTTTTTTTTTTTTTTTTTTTTTTTTTTTTTTTTTTTTATAAAGACCTACAGTGTTAGGCAGGTGCTTGCAGGGGTACTGGGAACCACCTGGCCTGCGATATCTTTGATCTGATAAAAGTGCTGTACGGTTGAACTTGCACGCAGATATGTTTCCCATTATGAAGCAAAAAGAGAGACAGAAAGAAAGAGAAAAGAAGAGAGAGGAGAGAGAGAGAGAGAGACATCAGATCTCAAGTTTTCTGTTGCTATTAAGTGTTAACATTAAGAGTTTTTAAAAGGCCAACTGTGTGCCCCATGACTGGAGTCCTTGACTGAAACAAACATCTGCTTGCATATCGAAAAAAAAAAAAAAGAAAAATACGGCAACTTGTTTACTGAAAAAAAGGGTTCTCCCAAGTGCAGCTATGGCAGTTCTGAAGATCCACTGAGGTACAGTAGGCTTTTGAATATATTGTGATTTTTTTTTTTTTTTTCCTTTCTTTCTTCCCCCAATGCCTGTGTTTCTCTGGGTGGTTCCTGCGGGGCTCTGAGGATCAGCAGGCCGACGACTGGGGCAGGGGCAGGGCCCTCTCGTTCTTGCGGCCCCCGTTCATGTGCGCGTACGGCTGTCGCTCCTCGAAGCTGGCCCGGAGCACCACCACGCCGGGGCCGTTCTCGGCTTTGTGTCCTGAGTGCTTGTCAGTGGGTTGGAGGGTGGAGGAGGGATCTAAAGGAATGCTCTCCATGTTCTCAGTCTCCAGGTCAAGCTCCTCTGTGTCCGGAGGCTTGTTCTCCTCGCTGTAGAAGAAGGAGACCTCTTTGAAGGCTGGGTCCAGCTCGTCTTTGATGCTACCGATGATTTCCAGGAAGGAGGGTCTCATTTTCGGGTTGTACTGCCAGCACATGCGCATCAGTTCAAACCTGGGCAAGAAACACACGGGGAAAAACGTTTACTGAGGTGTTCCACGAGCCCTGACTGGATCGGACCACGCGGTTCAGAACGTCATTCCACTCTCAGAGGTGCTGAGTGAGATCCCTGTGCCGCCTTTCAACCTCCCTCCTGACCACCCTTTTAACTTCTGTAACTCCCACCTCACCCTCCTCCACTCCCTCTCACACAGCTGCCCATGCCTGTTACTGACATCCAGAACCATTCCATACTTTAACTCTGACCTGAAATTCCTCCTTTTCCTCCCAAGCACCCTGTGCTCACTCAGCCATGAGTGACACGGTTGTGCCTCTTGGGGGATCTTTCTCAAACCACCGATCCCACCCCATCGATACCGCCTTGGAAAAATAATTAAAATAGGAAATACACGCAAGGTAAAGCACTGCCTTTTTTTTCCCCTGAAAGAAGAAAATTACATTCAAATTAATTGTAATCCCCAGCAGACATTTTCCAATCTCAAAGACACTCTCTAATCTTTTTATTTTAAAATTAGGTTGTTTTCATTTACGGCCAGGGATGCATTAATATTTCACGGAGTGTGAGATCATCTGTTTAAGCACATCCATGATTAGATCTGTACAATGTCCCATGCTGGCAAAACAAAACCACAAAATGAAACAGTAATACAGACATAATGAAAACAGCGTTTTCATGACACAGCAAAATTGGATATTCCCCGGAGATCGCCCTGAGCTTTAAACACAACACAAGAAAGGATTTCACCGTCTGTGAAGGTGGAATAGGGATGTCTTCTGTTAGCACAGTGCAGTAATAGGACAAATTTAAATAAGAAAAGGAGGATTAGCATTAATTCTTTGAGCCAATCCTCTGTGTACACAGTGCTCAGAGGAACATGCTGTGTGGAGGAAGTCACTGCTGGCCAAAGCTACTATTCTGTGCTGGAGTAAGAATGGAGCTAAAAATAAAATAGAGCAAAGAAAGTTCTCTCACTTAAGGTAACACACTGGAGAATCCTTTCGTGCCCTGACTTACCTGCCAGCACTGGGACCTGCAGCCCCAGACAGACCCCCTTGGCTTGCTGGGGTTCATTTCCCACCTCTGCCAGCCTTCCCTCAAGCCAGGTCACATCAACTTTGAGCTTTAATTCTACAGAACAACAATACCGTATTCCCACCTTCCACATGTTTTCAGAGCGTAACCAAGCAATTCTGTTTGATCCTCTAATTAGAGCTCTCGCTGCCCTGTGCCCTCAGTTCACCAGATATCTGCATCAGTGGGGAAAGATTTTTTTTTTTTTTTAAAGATTAAAAAGAAAACAATCAAATGAACAAAAATTCACTCTCTTTTTGAATAGCACCCCAGTCCATCCCAGAGCAATGCCCCTGCTCTAGGAGAAACCTTCCAAAAGAACTGTCACCCAGCTGGAAGACCCTGGGCTCTGCAGGCTGTTGCCGTGCACAGGTTTGGAGAGTCCAGGAACCCTGGCCTGGAACAAAACCACAGCAAAGAACCCCCCTCCCCAGAAACCTGGGAAATGGGGAAATCCTGTAGGATCTCTACTACATTCTGAGCTGACTGAGGCAGCAAGGAGAGGGCAAGTGGCCGTGTCTGGGCTGCGAACACCGCTGAGCGCTCTGACCAAACCCAAAGCAATCGGCACTGAAGCGCATCTCGAGTCCCCAACCTTCCTGCCAGAGCTCGGCTGGCACAGCTCCCCCTGAGCAAACGTCAGCCACCTGAGAGTGGCCTTGTGACACCCAAGGAGGAGCTGGCAAAACCAGTCTGTGCCGGGAGAAGTCCCCGGCTACTCGGAGCTGCCCCGTAACCGCACGTAGACACGAAAACACCGCTCGGCCAGCGCCGGGGCTGGAGCCTTTAAAGAGCCTTTCAGAGCACAAGCGGAGCCAAGCCATAAAACTGCACCGTACCCTCACCCACCAGAGGGGAGGGAAGGCTGGAGACATAAATATATAAAATCCATTTCTGTTACTTCACTGCTGTTTCCTTTCCAGCTGACTGCTGCGTCCCTGAATAGAAGCGCTGGCTGGAGCCAGGAACACTGGATATTCACTGGCACTGCGCCCCGAGGCCTAAGGGCAATGCTAAGGAGATACCACAAGCAGCGGAGTAATGCATGTGACATCAGCACAAACAAGGACATGTGATGTTTCTTTTAAGCCATTCCAGATTTGAAAACCCTACAGAGTTCCCATAAAAGGATTTTTCTTTCTTCTTTTTTAACTCCGTGTGTCCGCAGACCTTGTTTACATTATCTTAAACAAAACAGAAACCTTTCCAGCAGACAACAGGAGAATTTACAGGCTGTTAATAGAACCTGAGCAGATTTATAAAGTACGTTCCTGACTGGTGGCAAGGGAGCTCCAGGGAGCTGGAGGCACCGTCATGGGACAGGGGAACAGCCAGCATCCCTCTGTGCATCTTCTGCTCGAAGAACTGAGCAGAAAATGAATTCTGTTTTGCACTGAGGCAATAAAAAACAGAGAAAGGAAAGTTCCTATAGATGCTGAATTCCATTTGTGCTTTGCATTAGGCTTGATTTGGTGGGGAAAAGCGAAAGGACCTCTCCTCCCCTGCTGGCGGTGCCTTGCTGACAGTCCCTGCGCAGAGCAGACCCCGGGTTCTACCCAGGAACAAAGGGAAATCAGCACTGCGTAAATAGTCTCCTCATCTACAATGCATGTGGGGGAAGCGATTCTGCTTCAAAAACAGAGTGGAATTCCAGCCTCCACAACTTTTAAAAGCCCCATGGGAACAGGCTGTCTGAGAGCTTCAGCTGTACCCAAGCTCCAGCCACGCAGCCGTCACCTGATGAGCGGTGCCATAACAATGGGAGGACATAAAAACATCACTCGGTGCACAGGAAGAGGAGAAAAACAGCAAAGCTTCTCCTGGCACTGTCTTACTGAACCATCTGTCTCATTGCATGGTTCTGTCTGCAAAACCTCGCCAGCTATGCCAAGAGGGTGTAGCATAAACACAACTGAGTCTTGTTTCGCCCTGTGCAAGAGTAAAAAGCCTCCAGAAACACCATCCCCTTTGTGCTTCGCCCTTTCTCGCAGGGATTCACCACCTCTGAACCACGGGACAGCCGCGCCGTAAAATCCCCCCTTTGCACCAGCATCCCACAAACCAAACTGCAGGACAGAACCTCTGCAGTTCCAGCTGAAAGCTACAGACTCACTGCTGAGGGGCCAGGAGAGCACGGGCACCCACAGGCACGACCAGGAGACACGGAGCATCCAAGCCTGCCTGCGCCAGCAGCATAGGGGGGGTCATGTCAGCACACTCCTCTCTCCCTACAGACAGGGCCACTGTTCTGACCATTATTCCACTGGTGTTCAGACCACAATTTTAGCTGTTTCCAAGTCAAGCTCATTTAAAGAACAAAGTCCCTCTGCATTTGTAGCTGCCACGTGAGACAAAGGAGCTCAGTTCCTGGCTCCCTCCCTCACCTGCTTCCAGGCAGCATCAAGCCCAAACACACTGATCTCCCTGCAGCAGGTGGGCTTTGCTTTTGGGACACCTTGAGAGTCGATATTAAAGTATCACTGACCAGTCTCCACCAGTAAGGATTTGTGCTGTCTAAAAGACAGCTTCCACTGGCACAGGCATGCCAAGAAATCTGATTTGAAGGAGAATCTTTCAGTAACCTCTACAAAAAAAAAAAGAGGATCCCTTTTTTCACAAAGGACTTTACAAAGGGTGGCACTGCATTGTTAAGGCATCCTGGGATAACGGGGTGGAGGGCAGGGAAAGGAGGGGGGAGCACCACAGTAACACAGAAGACATTCTTTGAATGCCAACTGCACGTGCAGGGAACAAAGGTGAGGGTTATTCCTGGAGCTCCCCCCACTGTTATTCCTACAACAACCTACTTGAATTTCAGCAGATTTGGATGTCTGTCCTTAAACAAAGACAAAACAAGCTGAAAGACAGCTAAAACAAGTCACAATAAAGTCAATACATTCCACTTGTTTTTTTTTTTTCCTCATTCTGGATAAAGTCAGGACATTTTATACTCAACTCAAGCATCAAAAACACCCCACCACTACAGCGAGTGTGCCTTGGTTTCAAGTTTAGCCCCATTCCTTGTTCTGAAGGAGTGAAGCAGCTCCATTCAAAGGCAGATTTTTTTATTGTGCACCACGAGGCTGAGTCCTGTGGCCATAACAGGGAGAACTTCAGCTTCTGTCAGTGCCTCCCCTCCCGCCCCTCTGCTCGTACCACACGTGCCCTACGTTAGTGGGGAATTTCCAAAGCTGAATCTCCCCCCAGTTTGTCCTCACTGCAGAGGTGTTTTTTCCCCGTGGACTCTGATCCTGTCACACAGCCCGCTCTGCCCCCATTACCCAGCTCTGACCACTTTAAACAATGTCCGGTCAATCCGACTGCCAGGAATTCTCCCCAGCATCGTGAAAGGGAAGGAATGTGAAACCAAGGAATCACATGGCAGCTACACCTCCCCCTGCATATACCACCCACCCCCCTCAAACAACAAAACAACACTGCCTGTCATCTGAAACCGCAGCCAGGCTCCAGCCAAAAAAGCTATTTTCCTAAGAATCCCAAGCAGCTGAGGCCCTTAAGTGATTGTATCCCTTCTGTGGGCCTCCAACAAATTTCAATAACTGCAAGATGCAGTATTTCCTTCCCAAAAGTCAGTTTGGGAAGTATTTCAAAGCAATAAAGTCTGAACAACTGAAACTGCTGTACATAAAGGCCAGCAGAAGTATTTCAGCAATGTAAAGCTCAAAACTGAAGCTGCTGCACTGCACACCCTCTGCAGCTTTGGGTCGATGCTGGGGCAGGGAGAAGTTTTTCTGTGTAAAACACACTTTCTGTGCTTTCAGGGAAGGAAACTGTTTGCAGGGGGGATTTGTTTATCTGCATGGGGTGAGCGCTGTGAGTGAAACAGCAGATCCAGTGAGCCTTCAGACGAAGGAAAGGATACCTTGATTTATCTGTATGCTGAACTAAAAAGCTGAATTCCAGTGTTTCTGACTATCTCAGCTTGTCCCAGGCTCTTTTCTCTCTTTATGCTCAACAGAATTACTTTAAGCACAAGAGACAAGGTTTAGGCACAGACCCTCTCGCTGCAGCAAATGGGGCTCACAAGCTTTATAAAGTCTAATTTTATCCAAGAACACCAAGACTGTGGTTTGTTTCCTTATCAGAGGAGAAGGACAGCCCAAAGTGAGATTCTGGCTTTCTGGAATGTCTGACTACTACAGAACACTGGATTGACAGAGACTGTTCGAGCAGCACCTCCCATGACTCGCACTCCTGCGGCAGATGGGGAAGAGCAGGCACTGAAGGGATCGGGAAGAATGAGCCGTGCAGGGAGGAGACAGTGGTGGCTGTGGCACTTACAGCATGTCAGGGCAGTTGTCTGGTTTCTCCAGCAGCCCCCCCTCCATCACGAAGCGAAGCACCTGCTCGTTGGTCATGCCCTGGTACGGCTGCTCCGCCAGCGTCGCGATCTCCCACAGCACCACCCCGAACGACCTGCAAGGGAGAGCACAGCTTGAGGAGTCTGAGCCATCTTCACGGCACACAAGGGGGGGTATTTCTTAGCTGATGCTCAGCAGGAGGTGTCCATGGGTGTTTTCTTTTAACACAGAACTGCCACTGCTCAAAAAGCAACCCAGCTGTGGTGTCAGTAACAGCCCCGAGCTCAAGAGACCATGGACCTGAAACACCTCAGGTGGTGAGAAAAGCTCCCAGTTCTGAATGACTCTTCAGAACGGCCTCTGTAAGCAAAGACTGGCACAAATCCATCCCCCCTTTTCACAGAGTCTGCAGCCCAGAGCTGGTCGTGTTTATGATGGTTCAGTGGTCCAGCATTACTTGGCTACACCAGTTCTGCCCAGTCCATCAGTAAAAAAGCCACCACAGGCTCATTGCACTGACCAGGAGCCTCCTGACCCAGAGGAGACTGGAGCTCTGAGTCTGTCTGGAGAATCAGCTCACATCTCATCTCCCTTTAGAGTCCAGACTTTAGATGCACTCCCAGGTGGGAAGAAGGGAAGAACAGTAGAGATGGGAAAAGGAAAGGTGCAGGTAAGGGAAAAGAAACCTGTAAAAATTAAAAATCCTATTCTATTCTATTCTATTTTTATTCTATTCTCCATGCTTGCTGTAGAGCTCAGGCTGGACACACACCTGACCATTAAAATCTGCAGTAAAATCTGTGTGTGGCTGGGACAGGGAATCAAACCTTCTAAGCAGTGGAGAAGTAGCAGAGACTTTAAAGGAAGCTTGGCAAGCTTTCCCCCAAGCCACAGAGACAACAAGAAAAAAAATCTGTACATTTAATACACTAAACTCCCAATCTTCATGTAACACATCTCAGGTACTCCTGATAGTGGCTGAGAAGGCAGGAACACAGAACTGTAAGCTCTCGTTCCAGTGCAAGCTGCTTTTCATCACTTGAGCCACACAAATCCCCTCGAAAAGCTGCATTTTCCCCTCACTGCTCCACAGGCTGAGAGAGCCAGGCAGCAAACACACAACCACCCCCCTGGGCATCTCACCTGCCTCCCCACCCACAGCCAGCAAACCAACCAACCTCCACTGCCCAGGCACGAAAACACTAGTGGGGTAACACCATCCCTTCGTCCCTCTGCTTTAGTTTCTGCCACATTCTAAGTTAAAGGTGCAAAGTGAGGACCATACAGCACCAACAAGCCCAATTTTTGAAAAAGACAAGGAAGAAACATGAACGTTCTCCAGCCTCTTGTACCAAGACCCCAGTTTGATGTTTTGGCAGCAGAACGTTAAAGCCCCACAGGAAAAACTCAGTTATCCCTTTTGCAACATGTCTGTAACTATGTTCTTGAAACAGAGCTTCCAGCTCCTTCCAGATAACTCCAAAGGACAGCAGAAGTGAAAAAAAGGAAGTTTGTCTAATAACAGGAATTGATTACTGGCGAAGGAAGATAAGCAGAGTTATGTAATTGGGTAGTTTGGATGCAAGTATTGACACTTTCTAAAAATATCTCCATTTAAAATTAGTTTATTGAGCAGACATGGCTCAAATTGTCTGCACTGCACTGAAGAGGCTCTACTTTTAGAGCTGCCGGGCAAAGGAGGAAAATGTTGCTGCTGTCTGAGCTGTGTGGCTGAAATGCTGAGTCAAGCCAAGAGAAGAACGCGCAGTTGCACCGGGGGTGTTGTTACGAAAACAGGAGTCCGGCGTCATTAGCTGGTTGTGGCTGAGTGGTTTTATCTTTCAGCTATGCCCAGGATCTAAAGTGGTTTGCATCTGAAGCCAGAAGCCACAAAACAGCCTAACAATTGTTTGCCTTTCAGGGGAGGGAGAGAAGAGGGTCAACGGAACGTTTTGGTGCCTTTGAAGCTACTTGGATCACTGCAGGAATAATGAGGACGAGTCTTGCACACCTACTCGTCATATTATCCCAACAAATAAACTCAGGTTGCTCCTTCCAGGCAACTACCAGCCCTGAAAGAATGCGAGATGCTCAGGACTTCTTTATAGAAACCCACCCTCACCCTGAACAATATTACATTAATTTTAAAATGTCCTCCTTCCCTAACTACAACAAAAACACTCCTGTCTAATTACCTCATTCTTCAGCCTGAAAAGCAATAAAAGAATGAACTGCTAAAGTTCCACCCTTCAAACCTCCAGACACTCTTCTTGCAGTTTGCCATTTCACCTTACAGCTTATAAATCCTGGGCTCTGACCACTCACACAGTTTGTCTTTTTGATATCTTGGCTTCCAGAACTGATCTCGAAGAACATGTCACAATATCCGACCAAAAAAAAAAACAAAAAAAACCAAAAAACCAAAAAACAGGAAAAAAAATCTTAACCTTCAAATAAATGGCCCCCAGAACAGCCAAGCTCCATGGTTTACACGGAGCACTTAAAAATCTGAACCAATACAAGGATTCAGGTAATTTTTCCTGGCAATGGGGAGACCTTCAACGTATTACAGTGTCTGCTCTAAAAGTTACTGAGAAGTAAATTGGAATGATCCCTTTAGCCCTAAGAAGATCAAGGATATAGTCAGGATTTCATCACAGTGATAATTCAAGCTCCTGCTACATATGGAATTTGGACTGAAATTTCTCTGTAGCTGTGGATACACGTTCTAAACAAACAGCAAATTTCTCACGTTGAGCCAGTTTTTTTGTGCCTCCACGAAGTGCATCTCTGTGAACCGAATTTTCAGAGAAAATCCCTTCTAACAATTAAGATGTGAAACTATCCCAAAGAGGAACTGTCTGAAATACCCATGAGTGCTATGGACCTCTCCTCCATAAAACAATTTTTTTCCTCTCTATGCTTTCAAGTAAAAATCTGTCAGATTTTACTGCTCCTTCCCTTAAGTTTTCCAACCTTGTAACAAGTAAACTATTTTCCAGGTCAGGATATTTCACTCAGACTGTCCCACTGATCAACTGCAATGTTGTTTGCACAACCCTGCTTTGGACTGAATGACAGATAAATGCCAAGTCATGGAATCCCAGGATGGTCTGGGTTGAAAGGGACCTTACAGATCATCTCATTCCAACTCCCTGTCTCCTTCCTCTATCCCAGGTTGCTCCAAGCCCCGTCCAACCTGGCCTTGGACACTTTCAGGGATGGGGCAGCCACAGCTTCTCTGGGTAGCCTGTGCCAGGGCCTCACCACCCTCACAGGACTGGATATTCGGATTTCTTCCTAATATCCAACCTGACCCTACTCTCTTCCTTGTCAGCATTGAAGGGAGAACTCAGGTACTTCCTGCAACAAGTACAGCACTAATTTACTTCTGACACTGGATCTGGTGTCACACTTGGGTTTTTTTTTTGTTTGGAATTCGAGTTGTGTTTACAGAATAACGTCACTAAGCAGTTCCAGGTTAAAGGAAAGCACATGTGGAGCCAGCCTGGTCCGTCCCTGCAGGGAACACCCGACCTGCATCCCCTCTGGATGCATTGGCTGGACCCGAAAGTTCCCCCTGTGTGGTGAGAACAGGCAGCCCTGCCAGCTCCTCACTCCAGGCTCAGCCAGTTCGACATCTGGGGATTTTCTACTGATACAGTCCAAATTTCTGTCTGCTTTCTGAAGCCATTACAAGTCCCAAAATTCTTTTGCTGGGGGGACTGCCAAAAGCCTGCCTGCACTGCTCCATCAGATAAATGGCTGATACAGGGCTTCCCCTCCACTCTACGTGGTTATTTTCATCTGTTTCCAAGTCTGGGGGTTACTGGATTCAAAAGTAAGTTACTGGCCATATGTAAAATAAAATTTAAGCACCATTCTGGTGCTTTGCTTTTTCACTTGAATTCCTCTTACGAACATTTCACTCGAATTCCTCTTACAAACATTTCACACGTAGCTGGTGCTCTGGACTACAGACCACTGACTCCAAACTCCTCAAGCTGTTTCAAGAAAGTGCAGTTTACTACACTAAAATGCCTTTCCTCCTGACTTCTAGACATTTGGAGGCAATCAGCTGCCAATTCTGTAACAGATCAGCAGTAAAAACATCTTGTTAGGAAGGCAGAGAAATCATAAAAGACAGAGTAGAGGGTTTGCCAGTACAAGACCATCTTCTGCCAAGTCCTCCCTACCTATGTCCAAAAGCTGGGGGGTGTGTGGGGAGTTGTTCCAGAGGATTACTCCTCCTGAGTGTACTCCTCTATTAATAACTGCACAGGCACAGCAGGCAGGCAAGCGTGCTTTGAAAGAAAACCCTATTTCTGCATCTTGCAGAACACAAAACGAACAAACAAAGCTCCAAATGGAGAGGGATATGCACGAGGGAGAGATCCCCCCAAAGCCTGCTGGTGTACACAAGCCATCTGGGGGAAAGGGGAGTTGTTTACACAGAAGGTTTCGATGGAAAGGCAGGTGGGCACTGGGAACCTTTCTATACTCTTGGCAACTTTTAATGCTTTTCTTGAAAGAGGGCAATTTAAAAAAAAAAAAGACAACCTGCTCTTCCAGGTGGAGGTAATGTTTTTCACTGCACAGCTGACTTTACAACTAACAGCAGGAAACAGGCCACCACCTCCAGTCTCGGAAATCCACTTAATTCTCCCTGAGAGACAGAATTTAACCTCAAGAGTTCCTGATCTTGCAGTGGGAATATGACCATAAAGCAGAATGTTTCACAGTGGAGGAAGAAGGGAGTTACCTTTGAATGGACAGGACACTTAGTTAAGCCTACTAAAAGAAGAGGAGAGGATAGAAAGAAGAGGGGCTAAACCAGCTTTCCAGAGCCCCTTTTTTGTTACCAGACGTCGGAGTGGGTTGTGAAGACTCCATCTTTCAGGGACTCTGGGGACATCCAGCGGACAGGCAGCAACCCCTTCCCTCCTTTCCGGTAATAATCTGTCTCGTAGATATCTCTTGTCATGCCAAAATCTGGAAGGTACAAATGTTTTGAGTTTGCATGAGAAAATGACGGACAATTCCCCCCCTCCTACCAGCCAGGGAACCCCACTCTGGCGGAAAGGACCTGCAGTCTGTTCCCACAACACCTGACATTGCAGGCACTTCACCTGCTGCCTCAGGGCTGCTGACCTGCCCTTCCATCACCACCAACAGACATTTGTGCCACTGCCTTCAGGGCTGACAAGTCTGAATGATTTAAATATAACAGTATGAAAAGTTCCAGGATTTATGCTCAAGCTTTGCAGTAAGCTGAGTCTTCTGAAGGTCACATAATTCACTAACTGTTCCCCAAATTCAGTGATTTATTTTTAAAGAGTGTAAGGAGCTCCTTCAGTACTTAAAACAATTGTCTTTAATTGAAGAATTTCACGTGTTGAGGGACATGCTCCTCTTGTATTTTTTTTCCCTCTGTCCAAAGGTAATTCCCAGTTCCTGTACAATATTCCATTTCAAGTGCTACTGAGGATTAGGCTAATCATTTGTGACTAACCCAGACCAGTATTAAAGGCATATTTGGGTTATATGCATGTCCTTGGCTGTAAATACATAAGCATTTCCAAGACTTGGGTTCATCTCCTTACTGTAACTCAGATTTATTCCAGCACTTTTTTTCCTGTACAATCAGCCTGGGACACTCAGAACTGCTGGGTCTTGAACTCGCCTATGAAACCAGCTACTGTGTTCTCAAACACTAACCAAAAAAGTTAATAGATCAGGTACCGTTAAATCTCTCACTAATATTAAATGCCACCTGCTGACACAGAGGGCAAAATCCATTTCATCAGTACAGACCTGGAGCTGCCCCCCCCTTTTTTTTTTTATTACCAGGAAAAGTGGGGTGAAAAGGGGACAGAATTCCCTCAGCTCTCCCAGTTGTTTTCAGCAGCCCATGGATGAGTGACCAGGCCCAGCGTCCCCTGTGTGTGCTGGGGACACTGGTACCCTCGGTGGTTATGACTAAAGAGCCCATCTGTGCAGCTATTCCCTCACTCCCACACACCAGGGTGACTTTATCCTGGCTGAACGGAAAATTCTTTCAAAATGTAATGCAAATAAGAAACAGATACGCAGCGAGCACAGGCTGGTGTGGCACAAAGCTCTTCCTCTGAGAGCTGAACAGTCTGAGTCGGCGTGTTCCAGCCAAGATGCTCCCAAACTGTTTCTACATGAAGGGATTTTTCAGTACTGGTACATAAACAAGAGCGATGCACCGCATTAAAATGCTTTTGGGGTAACCACGAACGTGGTAAAGGGAAGAAATGCACCATCTTCAGTTCAGAGAGCTGTAAAACAAGCTGGGGGGGGAGGGAGGAGGAGAAAACTGGAATGACTTCCCCTGAACCTGCAGAAAAGGCACAAAATCCCCCAAAGATCTTATTTCCTAATTAACTGACTCAAAATGAAATCATTTTTTCTTTCTCCCAAATGACAGGATTACTTACACAAATTATCAAAATAGCTGAGTTAAGCTCAGAGAAAAAAAAAAATTAGTTTCCTTCAGCAGAAGGCTGCTGCTATACATGTTATTTTAATATGCACAACTCAAAAACAGCCAACAGCTTAAAATCACCCTCTCTGGAGAGAAGACTGAAGAAACTCATCTGACACTATTTTGGAAGGATGGCAAAAGGAAAAAAAAAAAAAAAAGGTGGTGATCCAACAGCAGAGCAGAAGAAAAGCCATTCAGCTGTCTGGGAAGCAGAACTCCAGCTCAGACTGGAAAGCACCCAGCTGAAGTCAAGTCTTACATTCCACTTCCAATTCAGATACGATTTAAAATAACCCTGAAGTTCTCGCTCTTGAATCAGTAAACAGGAGGTGGAATTATTTTGGTGCATTAAGAGAGAGGCGAGTGACACGCCCGTGGTAACCACGCCGTCCACCCAGATGTCTGCAGCATCTGCACCTCCACTCGCTGCCTCACCAGCTCTTTGCAAGCACATGTGCTATACTATTGCCTCACTGGAAACAACAGCAAGCAGAGCTGACTGCTCACAGGTCTTAAATCACAGAAAGCCTTCCTAAGGAACGTATTTCACTCTGCGGAAATTTCAACTGGAGCTCGTTTTTTTTAAAAAGTCTTCCCAACAGTTTTCAAAAAATAAAACAAACGCCTTCGAAGATGCTGATTTTTGAGGATGACTCTGAGATTTGTATAAGAGCCAGGAGAGCCCACCTCCGATTTTCACTGTGAAGTCTTCTGCCACCATGCAGTTCCTGGCAGCCAGGTCTCTGTGCACGAACTTGTTGGCGTTGAGATAGGCCATCCCGTCCGCGATCTCCCCCGCCATCTGGATCATCTTCTTCAGGGTCGGAGGGGCCTGCCCGGGGTTGTTCTGAGCAAGATGAACAAGATTAAACAGGTAACAGACCATATTCATTCTCTTGTGCACTTTCTGTCCTCCTGTTCTGTGCCTTTAATTTACCCACATCAGAATTTCTAGATCAAGGGCAAAAGCTGCTGAGCTCATTTTCTGTGTGGTCTGCTGTGATTTCAGTGGCCTGTGTGTCATCTTTATCCTTCAGACCCTGAATCAGACGCGACAATTTTAGCCCTTAGACTGGTGGTCTAGGTGTGAGAGTTTGCCTATTAGCTAAGGTAACAGATACTTACTTTCCAGCACAGGCAACAGGCAGGATACACAACATGAACCAACTAAACCAGCCAGTTTTTTTAACATCTTGATGAGAAATTAGATCAGACAGGACATTTAATGTAAATCTGGAAAACAGGACTCAGTGACACAAGAAGGGACCTATTCCATGTGGTACACTGGGGCTACCAGCAACAGCTGCCTCGTGAGAAAGGTGTTGCAGATCACAGAGCAGCTCATGTTTTGTTCTTGGAGCTTAAGGAGAAGGGCAGGAAAGGCTAATTGCCTGCTGCTTCCAACGTGATGCTGTCTTGTTCAGGGTGATTCAAACTGAAGAAATAAACAACCAGCAGCTCATGACTCACCTCTGTATCTGGCCTCAATGATCTCAGGTAACTTTTGAGGTCCCCACGTGTCATCAGCTCCATGATAACCAGCGTGGGCTGGCCCTGAGAAACAACACCAAGCAGCCGAACCTGGCCGAGGAAAAACAACCCTTCAGTAAGAAGCACAGCTAATTCAACTCCAGTGATCATTCAGCCATGTGGATATGAAGCCCCAAACACCTGTGAACCTGAGGGGAAGGTCTGAACGTAGATTTGGTTCCACTTTCCGACTCCTGTATCACAACAACGTTATGGAGCTGTGCAGAGTTGAAGCTGAAATCCCAAGTCCCCCCTTCAGTCAGTGCAGACGTGCCATCAACACCCTGGAGTCAATAATCCCATGAGCCACAGCCCCGTCACACCTCCCTGACTTACCACGTGGTGACAGTTGAACTCCTTCATCACCGAGGCCTCGTTGAGGAACTCGATCCTCTCCCTCATGCTGGCAGACTCATTGACAGTCTTGATGGCCACCCTGGTCTCCGGCTCATCCTTCACCACTCCCTTGGCTATTCCCTCGTACACCATTCCAAAGGAGCCCTGCCCCAGCTCCCGACACATGGTGATCTTCTCACGGGGCACCTCCCACTCATCTGGAACATACACTGAGGGGAGAAAACACAGGCCATGACGTCCCACTTCTGCACGAGGTGTGACCACTCACTGCTCTGCAACAGCAACTGCCCAAACAGTTTGACTGTAAGAACACCTGAGAGAATGCTGAGACCTTGCCCCCTGCGTGCCTTCAGTCCCTGGTCTCTCCCTACAGAGACAGGTAGAGGACTGTATACAAATAAATCAAAGAAATGTGGAGATGGAATTGAAGCAGCCTCACTGTGGCACTGACATATCAGGGTAGAAATAATGAACCTCAAAGCACAACGAGAGGGTGGGAAGAGGCTCAAATCAATGCTTAAGGCTTGAGCCTTTCTTGGGATCCTTGCTTTTCTAATCCTTCCAGACAGCATCAAACACACTTGATCATCTGTATCGGTTTAGTGCCTGCTGCATTCTCTATTAACAGCCTGATTTTATGACCAGAGGGAGGCAGGCTCTGATCCAGCAGCTCTTTGCATGGTACTGTTCTGATCCCTTGCACACACACTGTTGCACCAGCAAAGGCAGAACCTGCTGCTGCTGCTGCAGGACTTTGATCTGAGGCAGAGCAGAGCTCTCAGAAGGTGACTGCCAGGAGGCAGGACTGCCTCGGGCAAGAAAACATCCAAGCACTCACTGATGCTGCTGCCTATCAGTCACCAAAGGAGGGGACAGTTGTGTCACATGCTCTGCAGGGGTGAAATAACAGGATGAAAATAGAGGATTATAGCATGAACACCGACAGACCTTTAACCCGAGTGGTGTTGCTATAAAAAAATAACAGTAAAATATTCTGCTGCCACTCTGGGTAAAACCCATTAGTCTCCTGGGGGCTTTTGGAAATGCTGTTCCAGCAAAAAGTACTCAACAGCAGCACCAAGCTAAACTGTAAAGAGAAGAACTGAGGCCTCAAGGAAATTCTTCTGATGTTCTGATTTCCTCAAGCCATGGGTTTGTTCCAATAAGGAAAAATAGAGCTTAAAAGGGCAAACATGAAAGACCACAAATTCGTGAATTCTTCCTTCATTCCAGTGATAGCAACACTGGAAGAGTAGATGATAATCTGAAAGCGAAATTAATGAAATTTGCCTCAGCTGAACAAAACTACAGGAAAACAATTCACAAACTCCCCAGACAAGTGACAAGAGACAAGTGACCTTTACATATTATCAATTGTGGATTCCGTGGCTGTGCTAAGAAAACAAACAGAGAAAGCGGTTTTACAACATGCCTTTTAGAGTTTCATACCTTTCAGAGTCAGACACCAACAAAACACAGGACAGCAAAAGCATCACAAGTGTAAGGTCACACTCACCATCTGAGGCACTGAAGTACTCGGGGTTCACAGAGGCATAAAGTACTCCATTGCCCAGTCTGTCACTGTTCCTGTTGAAACATTGGGTTTTTTCCATTTTAATCTTTAAATCTAAGTCTATTTCAGGCCATCGCTTCTACAGCTTGTCCACCGTTTGCTCAACCACAGAATATTATTTAATGTACGTGGAGCTTTCCAGACAAAGGGGACGTGCCGAGTCCTTATCTACCTCACAGCATCAATGGACAAACAGAACAGTTTTCCCAGGAAACCTGGAGTCTTCTCTACAGCAAATCAGCACCACAAAAATGTAAACACAAGGCACTTTCAGCTGCTGGGTAAACTTCCTTTAAGAAAGGCAGCTGTATGGTGATAAACCAGGAGTGCCGTGGCTGAGAATGGGCTTTAACATCATCCAATCTGCTGGGGGAGAGAAGTGATCCAGCAAAGGACAAGACTCTTTTTAGTGGGGGAATTCTACTCAACTATTCCCTAAGTGTTTCTATCATTTTATTTTAAAACCACACACGCAGTTCCCACCCCCCTTGCCTCAATTTTAGTGGGGTGATTTTCAGAACAGGACACACAATAAGTCACTGTGAGAGCTCTTGCAGGAGACAGGCTGTAGAAATAAAATGATCCATCAGATCTCAGGAAATCAAAGACAAAATATTCTTGGGGTAGAACAACAATTTAAAGAAGGGTGAGTTATCAGGCATTTCACCCAGGAGAGCCCAAGGTGGTGTATTCACCAGATACAAAGCCCTTTCTGGAGTGCCTGAGCAGAACTGGTACCACTGTCTGCAGTGCTACCAAGAATTAGAGCTGGAAATCATGGGATGCTCAAGGAGCATCACCTATCTGAGCATAATAAAACCCCTCCAAACCTGGAAAGTTGCAAGTCTGAACATCTGCACTGACTTGTATCAGTTCTCGTTATGTATTTCAATGAGATAAAAAAAAAAAAAAAAATCCCTTGTTACAGAAAACAAAGCAGAGGAAAACAAATCACTTTTGGCCAGAATATAATTTTTTAAGTGGATGTAAAGACTTCAAAAAACCCTCTAGAATTAAATCCAATTAACCTAAATAGAACTAAGTTTTCATGATTTACATTGAGCCATATTTCAGTCACATCTTCTGATTATACAGGTCCAGTGTGTGCCATCATTGACCCACATGTTCCTCACAAGCTTTCCTCTTCCCTCTCAAATATGATACTGGAATACAAAGCCTCTTCCTATCTGCAGAAGCAGCAGCCAGAGGCTGGTAACTCTAAACCACCTCCTTTTACACACCAACGAGACAGAACTACTTCAGCTTCTCGACTCCTCCGAATGCCATTTCTCTTTTTAATTTTTTAACCTGCTCCACGGGCACAGATTTCACAATAAACAGTCCCCCTCCTGCAGGTTTAAGCAGCAGCACATACAACTCACCTCTTTTTGTTAAAGACATACAGCATTGTCAGCAATCCCCCAATGATGAGCAGCAGAGCAAGAGGGAGCACAATTACCAAGTGCAGGAAATTTCCATAGTTTGCTGCTGCAACCGACAAGAAAACAATTGTATCAGGGATTCTGTAAAACCTCCTCTAAACAAAGAAACATTCAAAACCCACTCAGTGTATTTCCACACAGGGAAGAAATCAAAGTTCTCATTTTCTTGTCTGATGTGGAAAAATGTACTCGGAAACCCTCCCTGACTGCAGATGAGTTCAACAAGAAAGCAGACACTGAGAGGCATTAATTTTGTACAGAACAGTGTCTGTCTGGGCTTTGTTTTCACAAGCTGTGCTTAAGGACTTACATTCCTCAGTGAACAATATCCAATTGTTCACTTGCATGTTCACCTTTTCTCCACCTTTTGTTCACCTTGAAACTGCTTTTCCATATATTCAGAACGTACAGGCACTGCTCTTTACTTCAAATTGTTCAAAGTGCAGCACTCAGAAAACCAACAAGGAACAAGACATGGAGTTCCAGTGTTGTGGGGAGATATCTGCTCAACAACTAAACACCCAGTTCTTGAGGGTCACTGTGGTGGTGTTCTTCCAAAATATAAATCACTCCCACTGTCAGCATCTTTATCAGAAGTCACTCGGAACAGGTCAACCTGCCGGCCAAAAATCCACACAAACAATTTGTTTTTCCTATTATTTTGCAATTTAAAGCGGGTTTGCCTTGTTGCCACAGGTTTTGGACACTCCAGCTCCACGTTGTTATGGCTAACATCACATTCCCAATGTAGCTGTACGTCCCAGGAAGGCACAGCAGTGTGTTCTCCACACCCACCACCTGCTGCACCTCTCACAGACACACAGCGCTGTGAGGGAAGGACACATCTCACACGCCCCTCCTGGTTGTCAACACTTGCCATAAAAACGGAACAGAGAAGAGTTCCCAAAGAACCACCAGCACATAAGAGGAGTACTCAGAGTACAGGCAACAGGCTCAGACACCCAGTGACACACTTAAACATCAGGCATTATTAGAAAGACACCAGTTCTCCAGTTTGGCACAGGCAACAAACACCTGTCTTACATTTGGGCTGCACGTAGAAAGAGATTGGCTCAGTCCAGGACCCATTTCCAGCCAAGGACGTGGCCTGAACTCTGGCAGAATAGTTCCCAGGGTTCAGGTGAGTTAGTTTAGCTCCTCCAAGCTTCTTGTATTCCTGTCTGGAAACACATTCCCGCTTCTCCTAAAACAAAAAAGCAATTTGCACATGTTAGGATCTTCACATTCCTTCATTCCTGAAAAGCAATGCAGCTGCAGGATAAGCTAATTTTTGTAACTAAAAGTCCCACCCGATCAGTTTTACTTCAAACACCTTAAGGAGATATGTGGAATTTAATAACTCAAAATGAGGGAAACATGGGAATGACTCGCTGGTGGGTGCTGGGTGTTTGAAATCACAGTTCCTGTTTGGGGGCTGAAGCACTACACAGAAGCACATTAAGAAAGATCCTTTCTGGTGTATAAATTATGAGCAGTAATGTGAAATCCTCACCTCTCCCTGCTGCCCATACTTGATTTCATACATCAGGATGAGCCCATTTGGACTTGCAGGCTCTGACCACTTCAGGTAGACGGTATTTTCCTCTTTTGCTTCCCATGATACCGTTCCTGGAATGTTATCTGCTCCCTCTGTAAAATATTTACAGGTGAGGTGAGATGAGAACACCTAATACTGAAAGGGGAACTCATGCAAGAGTGGGGGAGAACGGAAGGGTCACACTACGGGGGAAGAAACTCTGCAGCAAGAGCTGCTCAAACCCAGGGAGCCAACTGCACTGGCCAGGGCCCTGCTGGAGATCAGCAGAGTCTCAGCTATTGGTTCCCAGAAAACCAGTGCAGTGGATGCAGCTCCGCCAGGTATGGGCTCTGTGTGCCAAAAAAAACCTGTTTATCAGCACCTGATTCTTCCTTCCCGACTTTCCACTACACCAGAACAGTGCAAGGAGCTGTTCCCACCAAACAGCTGTAACAACAACCTGGCTGCAAACAGCTGTGAACACACAACTGCCCCACCAGCAGCCCTCTCCTAAAACAGTCAGAGGGAATTCGTCCCAGTTTAAAACAGTCTCATCAGCAATTCAGGAAGCGCTTCATCCTTATTTAGTTCCTAATCATTTTATGTGGTTTATTGAAAACTTAACAGGAATGTGAGCCCCATCTCAGTCAAAGAAAGAAGACCACTCCTTCAAAAATACAGTTGTTATGTTTAGAAGAAAACAGAATTGTTTAGCCTTTAATTATCAGAGCCATGTGTTAAAAAATCTGGGAACGCTTACTTCCTTTTCCCTGATCTCACAGATTTCCTTATTTCCTTGAAATAAGCAATACTTTTTGCCTTTTTTACTGACACAGCTGGATCTGGATTATGATAGCCTTTCCTTCCAGAAACAAAACAAAATTGCTACCATTCTGCATCCAATATCGCCAGACATCTGTTGGAGTCAGAAGCTCGTTGCTGGATGCATATGAGCTTACACTAAAATCATCTCTATTCTTCTCAGAAGAAGTACAATCTGTAAGAGCCCCAAACACGAGCACAGCATTCAATGCTTCCTATTTGAAGTGCTCCAGGGGCCAGGGATTGGGCACAAAGGAACACAGTATTCCTCCTGTTCCCAGGCTGGACAAATGCATGGTCATTCTGTGACAGAAGAAACATTTGGCAAACATTCCCACCAGCAAAACTCCAACATCTGCAAACAGTTCCAAGTGAGCACAGCAAAACCAAACATTAGCAGAGCGACACTGCCCTGTCTCCATTCAGCACACAGGGCACTGAGGGACAAAACCTTCCAGCCCACCACGTCTGTGGGTCTCACCTCTATCGCTAGGGAACAGATTCTCTCCTAATTAAGCTGCTAATGAACTTCTGCCTTTCTCCAGATCACGGCACAGACTCGAACGCGTCGCTCAGCGCACACACTGGGAACCAGTCAAGGACTTCGAAATCCACACAGTTCCAGTTCATTTTCTTGCACAGAATTTTTTATGGGTATTTCTAACTGGGTTTGGAGAGCTCGTCCTCCCCAGCACACGAGCCAAAGCTGCACCCTGTGAGGGCCCTTGGGAGAGCCCCTGGGAGAGCGTACCTGAGGGCATGGTTCTGGCAAAGACGAAGTTGGAAGCGCTGCAGCCGAGCGTGTCGGCCTCGTGGTTGCAGCTGTGAATGTCGATGCGGTAAAGGGTAAAAGGCTGGAGGTGGGAGATGACGGTTCTCTCCTTGCCATCCACCTTGGTCTCGAAGAAGGGGTACTCCACCTCGCTCTCCTCGGCGTCAGAGGCGTTGGCGAAGTGATCTGTCCCCGTCACGTTCCTGTTCCGAGCGGCCAGAGTGGCGTTCGCGATCCGGAACACGTCCCTCCGCTTGCGGTCGGGCCTGTGGGGCAGACATGGCTGTGGAAAAGGTCTCCCCAGAAGAAACCCATATTTTCTCCAGCCTCAGGAAAGCTGCGCAAAACGCCCCAGCGAAAGAGGCAACTGCTGTTAAAAAAGCTGAACAAAGCGAACTGCAAAACAAGGGGAAAAGTGCCTCGATCTGAACCTGCCCCATGTCAGCACAGCCCATCTCTCTCTCTTTTGGTCAGGGACCAACCACAACTCTGAAGCTCACGCTGCGCCCCAAGATAAATGTGCAAACTTCTGACCTCACACCAAAGAGCAAAAAATGGCTTCCCTGTTATTCAATAAACATCCCGGATTTGTGTTTCATGACAGTCATGTTGACGCTTAAAATAAAAATCAGATGTTTAAGGTTGGAAACATTAGGGGGGAAAAGAGTGTTTTGAAGTTTGCTGGATTGGCCAAGGAAGTTAAGCCTACTGAGAGTTTAGCTTTGCAGTTGTGATGAAATTACAGACCTTAGAACGGATTGCACTGACAAAAGAAGCCTTGGAAGGCAGTTGAAGACCGTGACTGCTCACCAGCACTCGGGTGGTTATCTGTGCATCTCTGCTTCTCTCACCCAAACAAAAGCTCTGCAAAGGAACAACCTTCCTGTGTGAGCAAACACAGCACTAATACTGGGGAGAGCCACAAGTTCAACGAGCAGTTTTGCCTTAGGGGAAATCTGGGCGAAATTTAAGCAGGGTTAAAAACCTGAGGATTTACAGCAACACTGCTGCATCCCCGAGCCTCGGAAAGCGCTGTGATGGACAGGCCTGAGTGACAGCACAGGCACCAAGATGCTCTTGGAGTCGTTTTGGATGGTATCCTACCCCTCCTAAAATCACCCCACCAGTGCCCATGTGGCGAGAGGGATCAAGGACATGAGGTCTGACATCTCTCCCAGAGAGTTACAAACCAGGCAAAGGAGGCCTCCCCCAAACACACAACAGGAGGAGAGATGACTCAACAGGAGAAGTTAACTCACTGTCAAACACATTATCTTAGCACATGCAGCCACAAGGCAGCTGCTCCCAGAGCCAAAAACAGGCTCACTTGGTTTTGAAACCCTCTGGCAGAGGTTGGATGAATTTTTTCTGTGGTTTTTTTTTTTTTTTTTTTTTAGGAGTTCACTACAGATTTTTCCAAAATCCTTTTAGTACATCTTGAGTAGTTGTTTTGACACTCTCAGCCACCACGTAAACCAGAAATAAACAAAGGCAAAGGCAAGGAAAGAACATCCTAAGTTAACAAGAAATTGTTTCAAGTGACATACAAGTCAATGTCTCGTCAGTTAAGGGAATTTCATAGGAGATGTAAGTGTTTGTGCCTCCTCTACACTGGTATTTATGGAAGTTACTAAACCTATTCACCCTGCTTACAATGAGTATTCATTAACTGTCTTAACTCAGTGGACAGAACAAACCTTCAATCTGCTAAAACTTGGGTGCCTAACACTGAACTGATGAACATCTGCAGAGGCTCTGCGATACAAGCAGTGAAAATTAAAAGTTCATTTTTCAATCAGCCACAAAGGCAATGCAAGAACCCAAAAGGCCTGGTTTTATCTCTGCTTTTATGGGATGCACCGAGTTTCAACTCTCTGGTGGTATCTGGGAGAAGGGGGGAAGTACAGTCCCACCTTGCCTTTGGGGAAAAAGATAAAGGGACACAAAACTTGCTGGTGAAAACTGCAGTGGGAGCAGGAAGAGAAAAAGAGCTGCAGGATAACCACAAGGCAAACAGGATTGAAACATCAGGAGATTTGACTCCACTGGTTTTCGGTCCAGCAGCTTCCTGCTTTCATGAAAGGCAGAGATAAAGGCAGAAAACAAGTATCCACGGAAGTAAGCCTGAGATAAAACCATGAAAAATCATCTATTCTCTTCAAGGAGAGGAAGGAAGAGGAATGCAGGTGAAAAATTAAAAATAACACTGTAAAAAATTAAATCAAATTTAAAAAGAAGGGGAAAAGCTAACATTCAACAGAAAAGCTCACTGTTCTTCGTGGCAATTTTAATGTTACTCCTCAGACTGCACACAGAGCCCTTCTCACCCTGCTCATTAGAGAAACAAAAAACTTGCAGAATAACTGCTCCTCCCCTGGTTGTGAGTGTCTCTTCGAGGCTAAGCAGAGTCCCGGTGTTTGAAAGCCACCACAGCAGTAACACACACACGGGGTCATCCAGAATTGCACAAGAGATTAGATCAACAGGCTTCTTCTTAACCAATCCTAAAACCACCCAGTCAAATACTTTCACGCCGTATTAGGTGCTGCAACTCTTTCATAACATCCTGGAGACAGGTAGAACACTGGAAACAAATACTGCTACTGAGGCTTGCATTAACACATTAATTAGCTTCTCCCTTGGGAAAGAGAGGAAAAAAACCCGACATCAACAAGTAACAAAGCGCTTAGATTTGCCCCACGGAGGCGTCATAATCTTTAATTCCCTGACATACAGGCTCTTAAAAGTTGTTTGGCCACGCAGCTATTGCTGAGTGTTGTACCTTATCTGTCCCTGCTGTTACAAAACACCCTCATGACAGTAAGTTAAGGAAAAAGGACAAACTTTCAGGAAACTCTTGGGGAACTGACCAGTGTGTTTGTTACTGACTGAGCTCAAGGTTCTATGAGTTTACTTGGGGGGGGAAGGGTGAAGGCAGGAATGCAAGAAAATTTGAGAGAAGATAACACATATTTTAAATAACAAAAGCTTCGGGGAAATTTAAAAACTCCTTTGCAACAGACTTTCAAGTAGTTTAGACCTGACACACGCCTTTCAAAACTCCTTGCTGTGCTGTTCCTTGGAGTCTGAAATCAGATCTCGAGATTTCACGTTGCTCAGGAGTTACATCACGGCCAGACACGGCAGCTAAAACTTCCCCGTACCTGATCTCTGCTGCTAGTTCTCAGCAGCAGCAGAGAAACCCTGCACAAGGTCAGCCCCAAATGCTAAATGTGACCCCAAGAGAGCTCAGATACTTCACAACTCCAAGGACAGGCAGTATTTAGTTCCTCATTTTTGGGGGAAAGCTAAGAAGCTCTGCAAATATCACAGTCCCAAGTCCACCAACCCAACACATGCTTGAATTGAGGACCGAAAAATCACAGTGGAGAGTTGACATAAACCAGCATTAATGAGCAGAAATGCCACACTCTGGAGTTCTCAAACACAGGACTTGACCATAAACTTCCCCTGCCAGGAGAGAGAACGAGGCAACGTGCACAACTGAGACTGGACTGCGTATAAACTGTAATTTAACAGCTATAACATTGTGTGCCTGGCCCCAGCATCCAATTACCTAAAGCAGAACAGCTTACCTGAAGGATAAATTGGAAACTCAAGGATCAAAATCACCTATTAATTCAGTAGAATCTACTCTATTGCTGCAGCATAAAATCGTTACTATTCCACTTAACACGTAAGCAGGTGTTTATTGTGGCAGGGTGGAAATATTTAATACTTCTCTGCAGCACAAACCCAGGAAACCAACAGGCCCTTTGTAATTAGTGCAGCGAGAAAGAGAGACCATTTTCAATGCTGTGAGGTGACCGTGCCCTGAATTTCAAAGGCAAATAAATCTTCAGATTAGGAACACAAGCACTTAAATGGCTATTTAGAGGAAGATCAAATCTGAAACCCTTTGTCTACCACATGTTGCTCATCTCTGAAACCCTTATAGACAAAGAGCTCCTTAAGTGACTCTCGAGTCTGAAAAGAACCCCTCACTGAAATCCTTGATCAATACAGGTAAGAACCCTTACTATGGGTTGGAATTGAAAGAAAGAAATGAAAACCAGCAAACAAGAGAAACTGCAGAGGAAGGCTGCAGATTGTCTCACATGAAAGGAAAGGTAATGCTTGTGCGTTTCGGGTGTCACCCATACAGTTATCAGCCCCACTTCCAAAGAGAAAGTGTCCAGAATCCATTACCTAGGGACAAAGATGGAGTTGTGAAGGAAGTTCTCAAAGACTTTGCGGTACTCTGCTTCCTCCTTCTCAGCTTGCTTTTCCGCCTCTGTCTTGGGACAAGCACAACAAGGTCCTTTTTCCCCCCCACAGCCCTCTGGCTTGGTGGGCTCAGTCGCTTCTTCTGTATCAATGGTCCCATCAGCGTATCTTCGAATTGGGACTTTGTCTGAAAAGAAAAGAACAGAGCTCGTTCCCTTTCCCTCCAGACCACGGCTGCAGCAACAATCCATGTTTTATCCATGTTTATTCACCAGCTCTTGCCAGCGAAGGGCAGAGTCCCAGGCACTGGAACACAGCAGGGTTGGTTCTCCTACCTTTGGAGCAGTAATTGTGTCTGTAGAGGTAACTGTCCTGAGGCTGCTGCTGCCAGCGCACGATGTAGTAGGAGAGGTTGCCATTGGGAAGAGAGGGAGGATTCCATTTCACAATCAGCTGGGATGAGGAGTTGGATGCCGAAATAACATCCAAGGGAATGGATGGCACTGGAGGAGGGGGGAAAAAAAAAAAAGGAAAAGAAAGGTATTTAAACCTAGGGAATTCTACGGTGTATTTCCAAGCAAGCTTTTGAAGTGGATCCCAATCCATGTCTGTACTTCAGGGAAAAACACCACCCTATTTCAAATAAAGGATTTCCCACTTACGCCTCACTAACAACAGTTACCAAGGGTTCAACTGCAACCACATACAGTCCCAATCCAAAGCTGTACTTAAAATTCACCTTCACCAACAGAGCAAAAGCCTGAAATTCTAACTCCAAGGAACTCCCATGGTTCCCAATGAAAATAACATCTGAAAAAAACACTTTTAATTCAAATTTTAATGCTTTCGTAATCAAACTTCTAGCATTATGCACATCATCTGCACATAAACTCCATTTCTGTATTAACAACAGAACTCGCACAATAACACACCAATCACACCTGCAGCATCATCAACCTCTCACCCCAGAGCTCAGCAACTCACCCGCAGCGTTGGTTCGTATGTAGATGATTTCACTTTTTGCTCCGTGAATATGATGGTTTTCCATCATGGTGAGGGTAACAGCCTTGACATAAATGGCATACTGAGTCCAAGGTTTCAACCCCTGCAGCAGGATTCCAGGATTGTTCTCTTTGTTCGGTGGCAGGTCAACATCAACCATGTTCCAGCTGTTGGAGCCACACGCATCTTGCCCGTCGTACTCTGTCACATTTTTGAATGGTCTGAAATAGTCACAGGAAAAAGCAGCACAAATATTTATTTTCTCCTAAAGACTGTCATAGATGACCGAGAGTTCCTCACTTCAGAGTTGCTCAGTGAAAAATATAAAGTTTACTTGTTTTTCCCCAGCAGAACAAAACAGACTAAAATCCCTATTTCCAAGCAGTACAAAATTCAGAGTCCAGCTTCAGCTGCAGGTTTACCTTCAGTCACTAGTAGTAAGACAATGTTCTCCAAGAAAACACTATATTTATCTATTTTTTAACCCAAACAGGCAGTGAAATGCTACAGACATCCCTATCAAACACAGGCAGCTCAAGACAGTTATTGACAGTGGCCAAGCTTTTTACCATAAAGAACCCAAAGTTCTGTGACTGGCCTTGACCACTCCAACAGGCTTTCCCCCCCTTTTATTTCCATACAATACAAACACACTTACATATAAAGTTCTACTTTTCAGTAGAGCACATAAACTCTTGTTATTAATAACTATAGAACTACCTGCACTGAGTTTATTGTACAACGTCACAATGATATTCTTTTTCAAGTGATGCGGGACATTTGTAAGGATTTGTCCTCCCGTGTTTTGTAGCCTTGCTCTGTATGTCACTGCCAGCATTCTGAACCTCCCTTTCACACCTCCAAACTTCTTGGGGGGTTATTTGTGAGCTCATTAGTATGTTTTCGTTATTTTAAACCTGCGATGTTGCAGGGACGTGCAAAGGCAGAGGCACACCCCAAGTTATTTTGATCTCTCCAGTAAGTGCCCCACACTTTCATGATCAAGAAATAGTCATGCAGAAAAAAAACAAAGCTGGACAGTCTAAATAACCCTAAACCCTGAGCAGACAAGTCATGCAGGTGACAGGGCAAACTCGTGTTCTGTGAGGCTCTCCAGTCATTATTATGACCAAGGAATGAAAATATCTCTGTAAACATGACAACTTATGAAGCATTTCAAATCAGACTCCTGAGAACAGCCAAGCCATCCATCTATCTTTCTTTTCGTTTTTTTTTTTTCAGATTTGAAACTTCCTGATGGATTTGCAATCCACTTGTAGGATTCATTCAAATAACCCTCTTTAAAGGCAGCTTGTGCTCCACCAGAGGAAGAATCTGAACAGAGGCAGGACTTGAGGATGAAATAAGTAAACTGGATGAGCTCTGCAACAGTAGGAACAGAATTGTTCCCATCTCCTGGGCTGCCCTGATTAGGCCCTGAGGACATTTACTCACGCTTCTTTGTAGTACACAGTGAAGCTGATGAGGTCTCTGTAATCTGGAGGCCGATACCGCTCCCACGTCAGTTTAATCCGGTTCTTGAGGGTAGTGTTGGAAACAAAATGCAGAATTTTGCTTTCACCTGCAATACAAAAGGGACAGGACAGAGTTAGTGTCACACCCCCTGTCAGGTTTTGCTGTTTCTTAGGTGTCTATTTTAGCTAATGAGCCTTTCCAGTAGCACCTCAGGATACCAACAGCCTTTGTCTCTGCAGAGCTTCCTATTTCATCCCACTACGTTTGAATACTTAAGGGCAAGCAGTGACCTTGGCAATCACGTTAGAATACGCTGGAGCTACTTGTTATTAGTTTTTTTGAAGCAGTTTTTCTTCTAATGCATCACCAGAAAGCTCTTGAGAACTACTTCAGGCTCTCCCTGAGTGAGGAATGGAAGTGCTGTTTATCCACAGGACTGGTCTGGAAGCGCTGAATTCATCATCATCCAACTGCAAAGCACGTGCAGAGCAGTAACCAGCCGCTGTGTTCTCACTCTCCAGGACAACTCTTGACAACTACAATTTGTTTTTCTGGAGAGTGAACAACACGGAAAGGACAAAGGAGTTTACATTCCTATTCATGAGAGGCCGGACCAAGAACTCCAAAACTCAGTTCATATACGGCACAACCATTTGATGGCAGCAGCTTCCAGCTACTCTTGTGAACAGGCCTGGATGGAAGCCCACAAGCTTTGAGATGAATGGCTTCCCACTACCAACTCACTGAGCTTTCCAACCCAAAACAAAATAGCATTTTAAAAACTTAATTCTTGGATGAAGAAATCGTGTTCTGTCAACTGTTAGTTTCCAACGTTCCACAGAAGGCTCTGCAAATAAAGGGGTTTTCACCCTCGTGTACACTGGCACTGTTGGTGCTATCTTTGCAAAGGCAGTTTGGCTTTTGTTGATTCTTTTCCCCTTCTGAGAGTCAGAAAGCTTTCTGTACTGGTTTCTTAAAAAAGCAGGCAGTGGCTGGCACTGGCCTCAGTGGTAGTGAGGCCTGGCTGTGTGTCTGTAACTCCTCCAGGACTGCAGGGCTTGGCTCCATTGAACGTGCAAAGAATGGAGGGTGCTCAACAGCAAGGACCGGGGCCATCTGCGCGCGCCCAGCACGCCTGAAGGGACGGACGTTCGGCAGCCGCCGTGTCCTACTCCTGGAAACACCACCCACAGCAAGGGGGCTTGACTTGGACACAAGGTCCACCTCAATTTACTCGGCTCCAAAAAGCACCCCAAACTAGCCAAAGGAAAAATGCATTGCCAGCTTTAAGAGTTAAGAGTTAAAATCAGCGAGCATTCTGTTGCCTCCATTCCTAGGTGACAGACTGCTCTCAAACACGCTGGTTACAAGTGCAGACCTGGTGTGCAGCCCAGTGGAGCCAAAACAGGACTTCCCAATAACTGACCACGGCAGAATCCAAAACTAAATGTGGAGGCACCCAGGTTTAGGAACGCTGCAGAACATCAAGAAGTGTTCTCAATTCAAAAGCAAGTAATTTGAACATAAACCACAGAAAGTCAAGTTTACGACCAGCATTCCGAGCAACAAGGTACAATATTTGGCAGAGGGTGAATGTAACATTTCGTTTCGGTGTCTATGGAATTGTTATGCAGCAGCACCCTTAGTATCAAGACAGAGCAGGTATCTGAGAGAGGAAAATCCCTCTAATGATGCACAGTTAGGAAGGAGACTGAGAAACTGCTCCTCGTTGGGTACACAAAACTCTGGGATTTCACTTCTCATTTCCCAGGTATGTTCCTGCTGTTATGTGCTGCTGCTGGCACCAAACAGGGAATTTGGGAATCTGGGTTTTCCAGACAAGATAGAGACTGTGCAACCACATTGTTTTCCATGTGTTCAAATGCACCTTCCCAGCTACAGTTTAAAACCTGAACAAGCAGAATGGCTGAAAGGCTCCTCCGAGGTCTAAACCTAAATATTGCAGTGGTGTGTTGGGGTTTCCCTTGTCACACCCTCCTGGGCAGTCTGCCTTGAGAGTTTTTTGTCTGTTTACTTACAAGAGGCTCTCTCCCCATTGTTCCTTGGATTTATATCTCCTTTGCTCTGTCGTCCCTTGGTTCCTGAAACTTCCTCCATGCGGTAAATCTCAGAAACACACAGTTTAGGATTAAATGCAAAGTACATTTTCCCCTCACTGATCGTCAGGTTATGGTGGTTCCAGTCCCAGAGCTGCTGAAGATTGTGGTTGTCAAGCACGTAGAAGGAATAATTCCTAGAAGAAAAAATATTAGTTTTAATTCATAGCCAATTCCAAAGAAGAATCCCTTAATATAAGAAAACTTTAAAACACTCTGTTCCCTCTTACTTTAAACTGGTGTTCAGCAAAGGGTTTTCTTCTCTCCCATGGAGCAAGTTTTCCCTGAATGCTCAGGGGCAGGAAATGACTGTAACACAGGACACCCCACCATCTAAAGCCACTCCAACATGTGTTTTAATAATTGTGTAGGAGCTACTACAAGGAATATAAATCCACGTGCTCTGAAGAGCAGGTCTCTATGCTGGAAGCAGTAACCTTAGATAGCCTGTGGAAGGAAAAGCCTGCTGCAGGTCTGACAATAAAGCAATCATTAACACAGCTGTCTTGCTTGTGTTTACCAAAGCAACTCCAAGAGTTTGCACAGTGAGATTTCCTTGCCTCTCTGTCTTAGTTTACCTCTTGGCCCAATAAAGGTTTTCCTACGTTGTGCCAAGTACAGCTGCACCTGTACATCAAAACCTGACAGCAAACAGGACCCACACTTCAAAACACACAACTAAACACAGGCAGCTGTGCTGAGCCCACTCCCTAAACACAGCCGTGGAATAACATGTACATCCTTTATTTCCACAGATACGAACACAAAGCCGGGTGTGTAAATCCTATTTATCCTATTACATGTTATGAAGAAATTCCTGGTACTATTCAGTTGTGCTGAATTGGAAAAAACCCACAGGTGCAGCAGGAGCAGGATTATAGGCTCTACATCAGCAGCAAGGCAACACCTGCAAGGACACCGACACTTTGGGACAGTAGGGACAGGAATGCACTGCTGGGAAATGAGTTAAAGGTCTGTGTAGCTGATGAATCAGAATCAAACCAACCCACCACGGCAGCATTTATTCCACTTCTGTGGGAAGTCCCCCCAGCACGAACTACAGCAGCACAAAATCCATCATTAACACAAGGAAGCCCATCTTGCATTGGTAACCCCACGTCAGTGGAGCCACACTGGGCTGAAATGCTGTGGCTGGATCAAAGCTTTGCTGCTCTGGTGCTGAATCCACCGTCCCCTGACAATGAGGATCCCAGGAAAAAAAAAAACTAACATCTTCAGTGAGGAGTCACACAACACCAGAGATCCTGTTCACACCTTCCAACAGGCCTGACAGCTACTGATGCCTCTGCTTCAAAAGGGTGTAGAAAACAGGGGGGAGGATGTTTTGCTTTTAAGAGACTTCCCCCGATTTGCTGCAGGGGTGGAAACACGTCAGCAGCAGGTCCGTGTCACAACTGGAACTCCTCCTCAGTCACCATCTCCTCGCTTGCTCCTGAAGGCCACAAGCTGCTCATTTTCCAGGTACCCGACCTGGGATGCTTTTGGGAAGTGCTCCCTAAACACCATCCACCAACAAGGCATCTGCAGCTCATGACAGCAGCGAACACACCGACCCCAGCAGAGTGGAGGGGTCGGGCAGAGCCAGTGCCAGACCAGGAGCCAAAATCCTGCAACAGACCCCGAGACCCCTCCAGCACATCTCCAGTCCACTTCCCCTATCTGCAAAGAGAAATTCTTTTCTTGCCATGGGGGCACCTTCACACGGTGTTTAAAAGAGGCAAACAAAGTAGATTCACCCTAAACTTTCCACTTTCTGTGACAACCAAGGCAGGCACCAGCACCTGAATAAGGAACAGAGAAATTCTGAAGTGCTGTTTTCTTAGACCAGCTCAATAACTAAAGGGACAGTGACAGTGGGGTCGGTTGTGCAATGAACAACAATCATTATGGACCTCAAGTTACCTTCTTCTCACCCCCCAAGGCAGTGCTGCCACAAACAGCTCTTGTTCCAGCAGCCACTGCTTCCCAGGCTAAGATCCCACCCCCTGATGTTCCTAACTCTGCCAAAGTAATTGTTTAGGCTCAGTCCTTCCTTGCCAGGTGCCTACTTCCACTGAAGTATTTTTGGAAATGTCATTTCGACTGTGGTAATGCCTGAATTATGCCAGGCATTTTCCAAGCAAAGAGACTGCCCCGACCCCAAGTATGCAACTGCAGTCATCTCCTAACATAGGGGAATCTTAGCACAAGTAGCTCTTTACTATAGGTCTATTTTGCCTCCACACTCAGTCTCATTTTCTTCTTCAAAGCTGCATTTATTTACTTCTCTGTTTGGGAAAAAACTGCCGTTTCCCTTTGTATGGGCTCTGCTGGCTGACAGACAAGGTGCCATAAACATAATTACTACTTGAGACACGAAGCTGAACTCACATTTAGAGAGATCAAGAAACAGAGGGGAAGAAAGACAAATCAAGGACTGGAGTATCTGTGAGGGCAGACCAGGCTGTCAGAGGTTGAATGAGCCACGTGCTCGACACGGTCAGGCCTCTGGGATTTGCAGCTGGAAACAAACCTCTCTGTAGAGCCAAAGCTCTTCCTGAGACAGACAGGGCAGGAGGAAGAGCTGCCCCTTCACTCAGGCAGATGATGGAATTTTAAGAATTTAAGGCTGACCAAAGACTTAGTCTGAGAGAAAGAGGGAGGTTGAGCAAGGCAGTTTTCTGAAGGACCACCACCACACCTCAGCATCACACATTCTGTGGGGCTAAAAACTTTTGCCTTGACAATCTTTTACCATCACAGGAAAGCAGGAGTTATGTACAGCAAAAAGAAGCAATATAATGCACAGCAAACATTTCAAGGGATCAACTTTACTCTTCCTGACCAGTCTTTTGCGTGCCTGGGAGAGAATTCACTTAATTTTAATTCTTCAAGGAGTGGCAAACAATTGCAACTTGCAATCTGTTTCACACTTGTTGGGTCACTCCGAGTTGCACTCTCCCTGCTTAGTAAAGCTCAGGTTTCCTTTCAGCTGACATTCTCCAAAAAACTCTGCTAAAAGCCAAAGTACTGCAAGGAAATCAGATCGTTTCTGAAGATGCTCTTTTCCCAAATAGAGTAAAAACAAAACCACTCTGTCCATGTAAAGACTCTCCCTACAAATATCTGAGAACTCACCCGTCCACCTGTTCCTCTCCCAGAATATACCGCAGGTTCTTCAGGAAAGACAGGGAGACCAAAGCATGGGAATGACGGATCTTCACGTACCCCGTTACCGTCTCAATCAGCCCCATAAAATTCTCCAGTTCTGAGGCGATGTTATCTACAGGAAAAAAAAGGTAATTCTGCTATTACAAGAGTCACAGCTTGGATTGATTCTCTCCTTAATGCTCAGTAAAAGAGAATGTTTGCATTTGTTGCTTTTGAAAGTGAGACACACTGGTTTCCCTCTTTTCCCTCTCCCAGGAACAGCTGCCTGTGCAGCCTGATGGTTGAAGGGTAAAATAAAGCCACAGAGTAACACTGGGAAACCAGTCTTGCTTTTCCATTCTGGAATACCTGCTTTTTCCATGGGCATTGCTCTCTGAAGCCAGCACCAAATGGTGAGCCAGCATTCTGGCAGGGATGAAAAGTCCCTTGTTAAACGTACACAGCCATGAGACTGGAACTGCTTTTGGATATTGAGCAAAGCTCAGGTAGAAAGCCCCAGTGGAAAACAGAGAATGAGACTGAAGATGAAGAGGTGGGGGTGTGTTACTGGTGTGCTTGGGAGGACAGGGCACCGATTGCCGTGACCTGAGAAGCTTTGGCTACAACACTGAGAAGTCCTGATGAAACAGTAAAGGTAAAATCCACAAGGATGTGCTCGTGTCATGGAGCATGTTCCACACAACTCACTGAAGGTGACAAATTATTAACGTGACTGTAGAGAAAGCTCCACTCCTCAGTCCTTCAGTACCCTGTGAACTGTCCCTGCCCAGGTCTGCAACACCCCATCCTTCACGAGCTCAAGCTCTGCTGGCCTTACCTCAGCAATGGTTGGTTCCCATACCAAATAAGCAGGAGCTCTTCAGCCCTCTAAGATAAATAAAATAAAAACCCTTACACAAAATAAAACCCCCCACACTTGCCACAGGTAACTGGGACATCTTCCATAAGGGAAGACTGTACCTTTGGAAGAGGGGGACCTTGAGTAAAATAATCCACATGCTGCTGCTACTGAACCCTGCAGCTTTCATTCAGCAGGAGGCAGGGAACCAAACAGATCTCAATCTTCAAACCTTCTTCATGAAACCGAAAGGGACCTTCCATAGGGAGCTACACATCCAACAAAAACTAACAGCGATTTTTACTCTGCTTTTAAGAGCTCATCAGCTGTCAACACCTCCCTGGCTGATGAATCACTGCTCTGACAAATTTAATCCAGAGCTTGTTCAAGACATGTGACAAGGGTGGCCAGCTCACTAATGCTGACCGTCCAGCAGCACAGTGTTGGGCTTTATATGAGCTCCCAGCACTCTGGATTCCATGTTTTAGCAAAACACCACATCTTGCCCTAAAAAGTGGGGATATGCAGCCTTTCAGTGCCATGCAACTAGTTATTTACCTACCCAGATGCAAGGATTTTTCAACTTTTCCACCTTTATTATTCTTTTGGGACTGCTGCTCGTCTAACTGCCTAATCCTGGTTTCCTTGTTCTGCCAAAAAAACTAGCAAAAATACCAGCTTTCCCTGGGACTGAATACCTGTGCCAGCATGGGCCAAACCAAACAGGAGCTGAGCTCTGGGGCTGCAGAGCAAACAGCCTGCTGAGGTTTTAATGTTCTTATCATTATGCTGAGGACAAAAGGAAGGACGTGGAAAGCAGCCTTATCAGAGGTTGAGAGAGAGAGGCCATCACTTACTGCCACGGCGGATGTTGATCAGCAGGTTCCCCTTGAGGATTGTGCAGCCCTGCAACATCTGTGCTGATGTGACAGAGTCAATGGTCTTCGTCTTCCCATCCTCACAGATTTTGGGGCAGGGCCCCTCACAAGGGCTGCAGAACATGCTGCTGGGAAAGAAAGAGATTCAAAATAAGCACCGATACACAACTCTGAGTCCACGGACTGCTCTGGGCTGAACTTTGGAAGATACTTCCCTCTAAAGCCTGGACAAACCCTCCAGGATAGAATGAGAGCTGCCAGCTTGTTGAGAGGACACACTTGACCCCAAGTGGTTGAAGCATCTCTGGCTTACAGTGAATGAACGGACCCACATCCACAGGCTGGCAGATTCTGGAAGGCTCTGTGGTCCTTCCCAAGTCAAAGGAGCTCCAGGTACAACCCAGTGCCCTTGCATTTGTGCATTTACTCTGATTAAGTATCCCCAGAAACCCCTCCCTTCCCATTTACCTCAGAGGGCAGTGAGGTTTTGTGCTAATCCAGGCCCAACTTCCCAAAATAGGCCAGGCCAAGAGCTGGAGATGGGAAAATACTGTTCACGTTCCTATAAAGCTGCCTGTCTCCATGCCCTTAAACCAGTATTTAAAGCTCAGCACTAGGGAATTCCACACTCCTGGACATTTTAACTCAGAAAGACAACTGTGGGGGCATAAAGTCAGGAGGGAGGTGGAGAAAGTGAGCAGTCCATTAGTCACTACTTCTTACAGCTTAAGAGGCATTAAAAGAGCAAGTTAAGCAAACAGGAGGCTGTGTCTTGATGCAAGGAAAACTAATTGACAACAGGAATTAGGAGAGGCAGACCAGAAGTCTAAGCAGGTTCAAAATGGGTGATAGAGATGGAAAGAGAACAGGTCACCACTGGCTATAAAACATCGAGACAGACACAGCCCCAAACTCAGAGAAACCAGGTTGCCAGAAGCTGGGAGGAGACACTGAGGCACAGGCTCACTCCTGTTTCTTACACTCACAGGCACTCAGGAGCGTTTTTCAGTGGCCAAACTCAAGTAACAAGAACTCAGGTCAGCCCAAGCTTTTGGTTACAGCAGCTTTTTAAAGGTTCCATGTTATACTGCCTGTATATTCATCTCAAAATTGGACATCTCGTGTGTTCTGACTACTCCTGGTAAAGGTCTTTCCCGATTTGAGGTAATTTTGATTTTTCAATTTATTCTAGCACTTTCCTTGGTATTTCATGATTAGTTATGCCACCTTCTCACTTCAGAGAGGAAAAATAAGAATGAAAAAACCAAACCCAGCTTCAGAGACAAAGGCTTCTGCTGACAACAATGATGGACATGGACTTACTATTTATTCTTCTATAAAGAACCTAACCCACTTTTTTTTTTCTGAAGCTTAAAGAAACATGCAAATTGATAACAGTTTCCCATGCATAAACCATAACAGAAAAAAGCTCCTTTTCTTAGTAGTAAGCTCCAGTTTCAAAATCCTGCACTGTAACATGCCACAAACCACTAAGAGCTGCAGACACAAGAAAGAGGCTTCAACTGAATGTACCAAGGACTCTGGAAATGCTTTCCATTTGCAAAACAGCACCTCTGGGAAAGAAAACATTGCCCAGCCTGGAGTTACAGCTGCTCTCAACCTCTGCAGGAGAGCACAACACCCACACAACAACAGCAGCATTTCTCAGGTGAGTATCTGGATTTGGGCAGCGTTAAGCTGCTTGGATCCAAATATCAGCCGGATCTTCCCAAAAAATCCAGCAGCCTACAAAGACATCTTTTTAGCACGGTACTGAGGCACTAGGAATTTTAGCACACTGACTGTACTTCACTCCAAGTCCACACCTTCCAAGGTTAACGTAGGCAACGAAGGCTGCTTGCGTAAACCACCGGCAAATTACCAAACTCATAAGCACACATCACTTCTACTGCTGGAATTAAGTAACAGCAGGTGAGTGACACTCTTGCAAGAAATTATTCTGTGTACTATTGCCAGCAGCTGCATTATTTTTGTCACAACCTATACAATCACTGTCTTCTAAAACACACCATTGTTATCTTCTGGTAACAGTGGAAATAAAGGGAAATAAAACTGAATACACCGAAGAATACATGTGCCTAAAACACAGGCACACACAAAGCAAGCAACAGGCAAGGCAAGGCGGCTCCTATGGTTTGCTCTGTGTGATAATGGTCATCAGCCAACTCCAACCTTGTGTTCCTGGGTTCAAGCAGAGAATAACAAGCTGAAAGCGATGACCCGTTTGTGCACTGACAGCGCACGGCACCACACACCATCACACCTTTCAGGGGGAATTCCCCCAGGCCAGGGAGCCACACCATCTCCATGTACAGCCTTCCCTTCTCCCTCAGGCCATTTGCTGCCACCGAGTCAGGGGTGGAAAGCCCAACCCCGGCCAGGCGTCCGGACTCTCCCCAAGCTGTGTTACCTCTGGCTGCCGTTGCGGATGAACCCGGAGGGACACTCGGCCATGCACTCGTCGTTGTGGATCACGAACTTCTCGTACTCACTGGCATCCGTGGCGGGGACCTTGGAGCAGAACTCCCTGGTGACGCAGCGCCAGCCCTCGAACTTGTACGTGTTGGGGGGGCAGGTGGGCATGCAGACCCCCTCGTAGTAGTAGTTGCGGCAGGCCACGCACGCCGTGTTGTTGTCCGGGGCCGTGCAGCTCCCCAGGCACTCGGGGTGGCAACACTCGTTCTGGTCCGTGCAGGCTCGCTTCCCACACGAGCTGGGGCACACTGCAGGGCAGAAAACAAGGGGGCATCAACACCAGCTGCTGCACACTGGCACTAAAGC